ATGTCAAAATTAATGCATACACATAATTGAAAAACAAGTACTATTAAAATAATTATACAATAGTCTCTTTTTCTACCTTTACCCAGCTATTACTCTCGCTCATCTCAGATAGTTATTTTTAATTCTTTCAGCTGCTTATGTTTTCAAAGAGGCTATACATGGCCATGACATTCAAAATATTTGACAACTAGGAAAGTGTGGGCCTCTGTAAATCATAACCCACTATGACTGGCTGGAGAGTACTTCATGCTGCTGTGTGTCCTGGAGGGGTGTGTGTGTGTGTACATACGTATGTGTGTTTTATGTGTGTGCTGAACACATCTCTTTGTATAGGCATGATAATTTTCTGGGAATACATGCAAGAATCCATTAATAATGGTGGTAGGATAAACTGAGAACCCTAAGAAATACACATAAGGGATCATATGATTACATTTGAACTAAGGACAGAACTGCTGTGTTACTGGATGGCAAATGCAAAGCAAGGTTCTGAAATGATTTTTAGAAGGGATATTTATTAAGCTGTGCAAAAGAGGCAATTGGTTGGGGAGAGGAACTCTGGGAGAAAAGAAGATCCTTTCAAAATATTTTCAAGTTCCTGAGTGCTGTGTGATTTTACTTCTTTCCTGCTTTCCCACAAATCTTAAGCAAACTCTTTCTTATTCATTGTGGCATTGGATCTATTTTCTAGGAGCAGATGACTGGATATTTGTGACCTCAAGCAGTGGCTTTCAGGGGGGAATCATTTTCCATTCTCTTTGAGCTTCCATTCTTTTGGCAGGAGATGCGTCTTAGTACATTTTGTGAAGAGATAACAAAACACCATACACCGAATACTTTTTAAGCAATAGAAATTAACTTCTCATGTTTTTGAGACTGGGGAGTCCTAGACAAAGGGGCTGGCATCTGGTGAGGAACTTTTGGCTGCATCATCCGATGATGGAAAGTGGAAGGGCTAGAGAAGGCAAGAAGAGAGACAAAGATTAAACCCATAGCCTCAGGCCTTTTTATAATCAGCATGAATCTATTTGTGAAGGTGGAGCCCTTGGGACCTAAATACCTCCCATTAGGCCCTACCTCCCAACACTGTTGTACCGGTATTAATCTTCCAATACAGCTTTTTGGGAGGCAAATTCAAACCACAGTAACCTATGATAATAAATAAATTAATATGAAGTAGGTCCAGAGGTGATGAATGCCTTGTTTCTAGGACTTGTGGGTGCTAAGGACTAACTCTTCTTCTTGGACCCTTCTTTTCTTAAGTAAGTAAATGTAATAACCTCGTGAGCCCATCATGAACTAATTCAAGAAACCATGCTTGGTGCAGTAGCACACACTTGTAATTCTAGCAACTTAGAAGGATCATAAGTTGGAAGCCAGCCTGGCCAACTTAGAGTCTATCTTAAAATATAAAATAAAAATGACTGGAAATGTAGCTCAATGGTAAAGCCCTCTTTGTTTTTCTGTGTGTTTTGTTTGTTTGTTTTAAATTATTTTCAGTGCTGAGAACTGAACCCAGGGGTGATTTACCACTGAGCTATATCCCCAACGCTTTTTATTTTTTTATTTTGAGATACCCTCCCTCCAGGTTGCAGTAGTTGGTCTTGATCTTGTCATCTTCCTGCCTAAACTTCTTAAGTAGCTGGGATTACAGATATGTGCCACTGAACCAGGTAAGAAACCAATTTTTTAAAATTTACAATTACCTTACAATTAGAAGATGAACATATTACATTACTATAAAGTACTAGAATAAACAAAGTGCTTTGGAATCCATATTCTCACCTGATCACAATACCAGACAGCAGATAAGGAAGTGGGTTAGTGCTCCCATCTCTGCAGTCAAGCTACCTAGGATCAAATCTGGGTTTCCTGATTTACTAATCCTGTGACCTTGAACAAGTTTTTTTACCTAAGTGTCAGTTTCTGTATCAGATAATAGTGCCTGAGTCAGGGGTGCTTAACACAGTGCCCAGTAAATTTTTAGCACTTTAGTTTACTACTATTCAATTAGAAATAATTGGATGGATTGATCATGTGATATTATTCCCATTTTATAGATGAGGGACCTAAGATTCAGAGTGGTTGAGCTAATTACCAAGCCAGTAAGTGCTGGTGTCTCTTGAACTCAGGTCTTCTGATACAACAGCCAATTCTTCACAACATTATTTGTACAGATTGATGTATTGTATATTCATTCAATAGTTTTGCAGTGCTGAGGATCAAACCCAGAGCCTTATGCATGCTAAACAAGTACTCTAACCATTGAGCTATACCCTTAGTCTTAATAATTATTTACTGAGCATCTAATATGTAACAGTCACTGTGCTTGGTGCTAGGAAATTCTAAAATAATCCCAATATGACTTGCCATCTTTGAGCAATCCTGAAATTACAAAACCTGAAGCTAGGCCCAGAGCTACTTTGTTTCATCCAGCATTAGTTAATAGTGAATTCTGAAGATTTTTACTGAAGTATTTGTGGGGATAAAGATGAGGATTATATCACATTAAATTATAAGTTATTTGAATGCAAAAATCATGTTTTTACTTATAAAGGTATAACCAGAACTTAGCATAATGTCCATCACATACTCACAGAATAGTTGACAAATGAACAACATGCCATATAGCCAAACTGAGTCCATCTTCCTAAAACACTTCTCACGTGTCCCCCACAATACATTCCCTGGCAGCTGCTCCAAAATTGATAAATTGAATTGAAATATAACTCCCATTAACTTGATTCTTCTAGGCATTTCTGGCTTCCTGATACAAGTGATTTTCATCTAAAACCAAATACAATGAGTTTGGGTTACAAAAAAATTATGTAAGTCAAAATATGGAGTCAAGAAGCCAATAGTTGAGTAAACAATGACAATAAAACATAAGAAATGATAACAAAAGATAAGAAATGAGTTCAGATGGTGAATACAAAGTGCCCAATGAAGAGAACTGAAATATCATGGAGTTTAGAGGAATGAGAAAGAGAACAGATGCACAGTAACCTATTCCAGGTCTCTTATAGACAAACTGTATATTGGTTTTAATTATCGAATCTTAGAGAATTTCCTCTGTGTAGCAGCCTGTCAATGGCTTAAGGCTTCAACAACATCTCTATGAATGAGCTGGGGGCTAAGAGGTCCCAGAAACAGCAGACCCTGCAGTTTCTGTGTAGAATGAGGAGGTGGGGGTGGGGTCCAAGCCTTGGTTCACTTCAAAGTGAAACAAAAATGAAGTTAAGAAATCCTGATATGTTTCCTTTTCTACCAAGTCAAGCAACAAGACCTCCCCTGGCGACACTCAGAGATGGCCACTCAAACAAATTTCTTTCATTCTGTGACAGCATGAGCTTGCAGAATGTTGAGAACAGGAGGCCAAGAAAAAAGATGCCGTCTTCCTGCTCACAGAAGAGATTGTAAGACATACTTGCTCACACAGCATTACCAAAAGGGCTTGTGTATGAGTCAGGCACAAATGGTAAGTGGGCTGATGAGACTTGCAGAGTTTATGATAATTTCTGACGAAGCAGCATGCAAGAGCGCCCATCGGTTATTGTATGAGTGTGGTGCGGTCTGTAATTTGACTTGTTTGGTTGGGTCTTCTTGTTATTATAGGTTGTGCTTGACTGAGGCCTGTTGAAAAGTCTTTTTTCTTTTTCTTTTTTTCCCTTTGCTATTAGAATTCTTGTTTAGTGACGAAGAATTGAGACTTTGTGGCAAGAATGCTAAATACTCCTTCAAGCTACACAGGCAGAAAAGGATGTGAGATAGTTTTATGTTTTATTAGCATCTGATTACAGGAACATGATCCCAGTTCCCCTGATTTCCTGATCACAGATGATTTCTGCACTCACCACAGTGTAGTTGGACACTGTCTGAAGCATCCAGGAATAAGGTCAAATGCAGGGCAAAGCACAAGGGATAGGTATGCAGAGGGATTGAACAAAACATGTCTCTAGGCTCCTAGTATCCCCCTCCATTCCAGGGCCAACACTCTTCTGGAGTTGCTACATTTAGCAAAGAATGCATACAGTCATGCCTGTATTTCATCTCATAGTCCTTTAGGGTTTAGTCCTCTGCCATCAGAGCCTAATTTGGCAGAAAATATCTGAGTTAGTTATCAGACCTTAAAGCAATATTTCAAGTCTGGACCCAGATAATCTGCATTAGCATAACCAGAGGGTTGGGAAAAAATGAGAATTCCTGAATCTTGTCCTAGGTTCCCAGAATCAGAAATTGCAGGAGTGGGCCTAGGAATCTGCCTTTAATTATGAGGCCCACTAAAGCAAGAAAAGAATTCAATGACCTCAGTGTCTTTCCTCTCCCATCTGTATATACTTAAGGACTTCATCCTACTTGTAAAGGAGACAACAAAGGTACAGTACTTGACCTTTATAGGGACTACAATAATTACATGTTTCCTTAATCCTTTCCTAAAGGGACTTTGGACTTCAGAAACAAAATGGGTATCTACCCATGGCTCCTCCTTGAAGAAAAGAAAGTCTGAAGCTATCTCTGATCACCTCCAAAGAAGGGCCTAACCCCTCTACCAGACCCTGTCTAGGTTGCTAATGCCTGCCAGCAGTCTGAGGAGGTTCCTCAGGAGTGACTCCATCAGGACCATGTCTAGGGCTTCATCCTGTGTTACAAAAAGAGCACATCTTCAATCAGTGTGCTAAGAAGCCTGCAATGACCTACCCCCTCTCTAAATTACCTCTGTACTCTTTGTTCTGCATCAAAGTGTTAACTAGAATTTTCTCCAAGATCTGCCTCTTTGTCCCTAAGTCTGCTCTCTGCATTTTCCAGTACTTTGTCTGACAATCAGCCATCAACAATAATGACCAGATCATTGCACGCTGAAAAAGTGTGCAGGAGAAGGGGATGGGACACAGAGAACTCAAGATTTGGGTTTTGAAAGACTACAGGCTCCAAAATGCAATTTCACCTCCCAAAGACTACCATTCCCAACATGCAGTGCAGCCAGGGTCAGCAAACGCTTGGCTTGCCTTTCTGTCACCTCAGGCAAAGGAAGGATATGGAAAAGCCCCAGAGGATATTTGTGGCAGGAGTGGTCACTGGCTAAATCCAGGCAGGGAAGCGGAGCGGAGTCCCGCCCCTCCTGCAGTAAGCGCCTCAACTCGGCTGCTGGAGTTCTAAGAGCACAGAGTAGCTGCACGCCCCGAACTTTCCCCATGGTTTCGGTGACCAGAACAATGTTTGGAGAGCTGCCCTCCGGAGGAGGGACAGTGGAGAAGTTCCAGCTACAATCAGACCTGTTGAAAGTGGACATCATTTCCTGGGGCTGCACCATCACCGCTCTGGAGGTCAAAGACAGGCAGGGGAAAGCCTCCGACGTGGTTCTTGGCTTTGGCGAGTTGGAAGGTGGGTTCCACCAATCCCGGGCGGAGGGGATGATCAGGACCACCCTTCACGCACCCCGAACTTTCGGCCGCCTGTGAGCAAGGGACTGAGGTCAAAGTCCCTGAGTGATCTTGGGACGATCTAACTGGGGAGTGCGTGGGTTGGCTAACAGGGCAGTGTGGCGATCCGGAGCTTGGGGGGAAAAATGAAAACCCAGAATGATTCCAAGTCGAGTAGCTAAAGGACTTGGTTTCTTGTCTGCTGGTTATCCATTCAGGCTTTGCCTCAGTTAACGCAAAAAGTGAGACCAAACTCCAGCAATCCTGGAGCAAACTTTGAACTGCTGGCAACGGGGGCGTGGCTCCTTCTTCTTCCGGTTCTGCTCTTTTCAGAAGAAGGAAAAGCAAAGACTTGCGTCTACTAGTTACTCTTCATCAGATTCTCTTTGAAGACTGATTGTCCCAGAAATGCTCCATGACTTAAGCTGAGTGCAGGCTCAGCAGAGAGCTTGGCTGTTTTGGTTATGATGCCCAGCCCAGCCCACCCTGCTTGCCGCTCAATAAGCATGTACTGACGGAAAGGGAGAAGACCACCTCTAACTAGATGGACTTTCTCCCCTTGGGGTCTGTGGGCAATTAGGATCATGTGTTAATTCATGCATTTTAAAACTCTGGTAACACATTCGACAACACAGACAAGCCTCCACGCCCACCCCCCTTCACAGAGCTTGCCGTTTAGCTAAGGAGATGGTTTTTAACCCAAATAACTCCATAAATGTATAATTACAACTGCAGTTGGATTGTAGCAAGAGATTGGGTATATGGTTCTATCTCTTGGCACTGCAGTGTAACCAAACAGAAACTGGGGTCTGAAATAAAATTGGCGAAGGGAAACTGAGAATTAATAAGCTCTGCTGGCTGATGGGTGTGGACAAATTCTGCATTGTAAGAATATTGCTGAAGGTCCTATTGATCACCTCTGCTTGTCTTCACCAGCCCTGGAGCCCCACAGTTTTCTTTATATGATCTTTTAGGTATGACCTAGGAAAAAAACAGTAATGCCTTTTGTGAGTTTTGCATACCATTTCTTATCTTTAAAATTTTTTCTACTTGTGTCCCACCTACAGTTCTTACGGCTTCTTTCAAAGCCTGTTATGAGAATATTTGCTGGTAAGCCACATAGATAAACAACTTACCCATAAAATCCATGAGATTCCTTTCTTTCATTTCCCCCCAGTTACTACCAAACAGCCATCTATTACTGCCATGAGTCATTATGGCACTTGCCCAGCACATGTGAGGCCTGGGTTAGATCCCCAGAACCTCAAATAAACAAACAAAAATGCTTCTTTAGCAGCAACTTAAGTGAGGAGGCTGGTACAGGAGGCTGACTGTAGGAAGGTACGGGGATGTGAGAAAGATCAGCGTCACTTCCCTTCCACACATCTTCAGAATTAGAAGCCGAGAGGGCAGGCAAGTGACCAAAGAGGATTCTCTATAATCACTTTGCCGAGTCACTTGTCTCTGCTATAGGCTGCAGATAGAACCACAAAAGATTGCATCTATTTTTTGTTTGTTTGTTTCAGTACTAGGCCTTACACATTCTAGGCAAGAGCTATACCACTGAGCTATATCTCTGACCTTTTTATTTTAATTTTGAGATAGGATCTCCTTAAATTGTCCAAGCCAGCTTCAAACTCCAAATCCTCATGTCTCAGCCTCCCAGGTAGCTGGGATCACAGTTTGCCCACCACACGCAACTCAAAGAGTTTACCTGACTCATGCAAAATTGTTCAGGGGAGTCAAAGGAGAATTGGATATTTAACCTGGAATTCCTGATCCACGGAAAAAAATTGGGGATATAAAATTGTGGGTACCATCCCTTATCACCATTCAGAAGGTACTGTCCACCCCCTGCAGACATATGCACACCTCTCTTATTTCCTGAAATTTTTAGTTCTAAGAGTCACATGAATGTAAAAGCACAAAGATCTTTGGAATTCATATGGAATGTGAGCTGTGACGACAAGCTTCCCGATGACATGACACCCAGGAAGCACCAGTTTCTTGATAGGTGTGGAAGTGCAAAGACATTCACATAATCCTGTGTGAGACTGTAAACCTTGTGGGAGTCTCGGTGAAAGAATCCTTCCCAAATGTTCTTAAAAGGAAGAAAACACGTTAGCTCCCCTAGATTATAGTGATCTAGCTGGTATTTTATTGCCCTCCCTAGTACCAACATATGTTGAGAATGTTCAGTGGCATTTTCTCAGCAGAAGGCACCACAGCTTCACAGAACGCCAATTTAAATCAAAGCATTTCAAATATTCTTCTTGGTGCTGGTCCAAGATGGACATTTTCATTCCTGTGCTACAATTCAGATAATTTAATTATTTTAAAAGGAAAGAAAACTATTTTCAAAAGACAATATAAGGGGAAAACACCCTCAGTATATTAAATTACACTTTCTGATATGTTCAGCCATCTTTAAGGTTACCATAAATGGACCCAAGTTTCTTTTATAAGGCCTTGTCTTTTAGTATTGCTAAAGATAAGACTTCACATATGTCATAATAGGAAGCATATTGCCTCAATCAGAAAGTAGGAAATGGCTCTCTGCTACTATTTTGGTTAATTCTAATTTATTAAAAGCCATATTAGGAAACTACTAACCTCAACGTAGTGATGCATTCTTGTAATCCCAGCTACACGGGAGGCTAAGGCAAGAGGATCTCAAGTTCATGGACAGCCTAGGGAATTTAGTGAGACCCTGTCTCAAAGTAAAAAGTAAAAAGGGGTTTCAATTTAGTTTAGTGGTAGAGCATCCCTAAAAGAAAACTAGCCACAGTGGTTGTCCTTAAGAAAGGACCTTGGATAGTTAAGGTGTAGGAAAGGACCTTCTTTATATTCTTTTAAAATGTCTGATTATGTGAGTACATATAAACATACAGGTAAATAATTTAAAGTAATAAGATTTGACAGAGCAAGGTATTGTCTTGACATTATCATGTTCCAAAAGTGTTTTGAGCTACAAGGGAGAGCTAAGCATGAGTAATTTGATGAGACATAGTCCTTTTGTAACTGCCAGGTTGGATGTGAACACTCTCCAGTTTCCCAGATAGATTATATAAATGCTTGGATGACAGCCATAACCAGAGGTCAGAATGGCTCGATTTCTCTCTGGGAAAATGAGATCTTTCTTCTGAAGGATTCTAAAGAGTAAATTATCCGATCTTTTAGGTATGACCTAGAAAAAAAACCTTCTGTGAGTTTTGCTACCATTTCTTTTCTTTAAAAATCTTTTTTATCTGTGTCCCACCTACAGTCCCTATGACTCCTTTCAAGCCTGTTATGAGAATGTTTGCTTGTAAGCCACATGCATAAACAACTTACCCATAAAATCCATGAGAGTCCTTTCTTTCATTTCCCCCAGTTACTACCAAACAGCCATCTATTGCTGCCATGAGTCATTATGGCACTTGCCCAGCACATGTGAGGTCATGGGCTGGATCCCCAGAACTTCATAAATAAATAAAGAAACAAAAATGCTTTTAGAAACCTGGGTTAAGCAGAGGAGGTGGGGATAAAAGCAATCAGGTTAGAGACTGCAGTGTAATATTTCAAATGCCTAAGAGTACCTTTATGGGAGCATTGAGGACTCCCCACTTTGTCTTTTAATGTTGTGTAACATCTTGGGCAAGTTTTTTTTTTAACCTCTTCAGAGCAGTGCCTCCCCTGAAACAAATGGATTATGATGATTCAGTGCACTATGATCTATGATATGTGTCTGACCGGAGATGTGTCTGCTTTCTTTCCTTTGCCCCCAAATACCTTCCATCATACGACTAGAACTTTCTATTTCACTTTGTTAAATCTGCAAAAAATTATGTGGAGCTTCAGCTTGGGCAACCAACAGCCTTTTAAAAATATATAACATGTTTGGGATAATTAGAATGCTTGTCAATTAAACTTCGGTTATTTTCCTCATCTGACCAAAAGACAGTCATTCAAGTAATAAATGTTGTTTGGAGTTTTAAAAAATTAATTAAATACATATGCATATGTGCATATATATTTAATATATGTATATATAATAATTAAATTATATACTATACAATATTATGTTATTATACATATAATATTATAATGTTGTTATTGTATAATTGTCATACTAATATTTATAATATTATAAATAAATAATATTTATAGTAATGATGTATAATATGTAATATATTGTATATTACTTATTATAATGTATGCATATATAATTAAATGCATGTGTATAGTTATATGTTTTATATATATGCGTATATAGATATGGATATAGATGTACTTTTTTTTGAGATAGGTTTTACTATGTTGCCCAGACTGGCCTTGAATTTGCAATACTCCTGACTCAGCCTTCTGAGCAGCTGGGATTATAGGTTTTGCACCATCTTGCTGGGTTGTTTTGAGGGAGGGTAGTGAATAATTTATTTCAGACTTTAGAGCACTCTGGTGAAGGTTGGGGCTTTTTGAGGCGGGTGTCATAGTTGGGGATCTTGGGAGGTTAGAGGAGTGGAAAGGGCCATATACCATGCTTAAGCAATTATTGATTTTTTCTGGCCAGTGCCTTGCCCAGGAAAAGGAGCAGACTTTCCCAATCCTCTTTCTCCCACCTCAGCAGCTGATTTGATTAAATCAGTATTCGTGGCTTGACCTAGGAACTTTGAACTTTTCACATAAAACAGAATTTTCTGCAATGAAAAATAACTTATTATTATTATTCCTTATTATTATTATTCCTTATTTAGTCATTCCTTATTCAGAATTTGGGGATTTTCATTTTTCCATAAGACTGATTTGATACAAATGCTTAATTACATTTGAAAATAGTATGAAATCTATTTGTTCTGTTAAGGTTTTTTCAGAGACAGCTTGGATAAGTGGTTTCTCCGTCCTCATGGATCAATTCTTTTTTTTTTTTTTTAGTATTTATTTTTTAGTTGTAGTTGGACACAATACCTTTACTTTATTTTTATGTGGTGCTGAGGATAGAACCCAGGGCCCCCTACCTGCATAGATGAGCACTCTACTGCTGAGCCACAACCTTAGTGCCCTAATGGATTAATTCTTAAAAACTATTAGTCTAAACCAAGGAACTGGCAGGTACTTCTCATCTCCACAGGCTGATGAACTGTTGCCAGGAGTCGTGGCTTCTGAGGGAATTCTTGACAGCCAGTGTGGCAGGAGCTTTACTGTCAGATTGTCTCCAAGGCCTAGTATACCTCTGGTGGAGGATGGGGGCTCTGGGTACACTTGTGGAAAAAATTGAGATCGGACTAAAAATGGCCACAGCCAGTTGTTGTATGTTTGTTTGTTTGTTTGTTTAGACAATCTGCTTTTCTTTACATTTTTAAACTTTATTGGGCTCAGACATCCCAAATTGATGTCTGCAGAAGCAACCTCAAAGCAAAGTTTCCCTCTGGCCTTCTCTTGAGGCAAGCCATAGAAGCTAGGATTGCTCTTCTCCAAGGCAGGTCATAAAAACTAGAACCCCCTTTTCCCCAAAGTCAAGATAAAAGCTAGAAATATTACTCTAACCCCCCCCACACACACACACCACACTTTCTCTCTAAGAGTCAGCCATAAAAAAAAAAATTCTCTGACCTCTTGTTCAATTGTAGGTCCTAGGACCCCTGTTCTAGAAAGGGTCTTGGTTCGTAGCTGGGAGGAAGGATTGCTGTTCACACAGGCCAAGAAGAATCTGAGCAGACAGGCCTTGCAGGGTCTGCCATGATTTTCAGAAAATACCCTTTTTGTCCAGTTCTATTTCTAAATGGCTGTCCATGCTTCATCTCTCCTAAGAATAAAAATGGTTAGTTCACCCTGGGTCTCTGAGTCTTCAATCTGAAGGTTCCTGTGTCACGTGAAACTATAATCAAATATGCTTTTCTCTTGTCAACCTGTCTTTTGTTATAGAGGTGTCAGCCATGACCCCTGATGGTGGGCAGGAGAGGGATTATCCCCTTTTCTGTCTAAAGAGAAGATGAAACAAAACCAAGAAGAGGTTGTTTGCCTTTTGGACTCCTTTTGTTTAACCACTGTTAAGGGGTTTGAAAACTACAGCTTCAGAAAGTAGAAGGTGGGGAGAAAGTGGGAACTGACGGAGCAATGAACCCCACCAGTGCCTAGAGACGGTGATTAGATGGGCCAACCAGGATGCCTGGTGCTTGCTAAATACAGTTGGCCCTCTGTATCTATGGATTTGCATCAGTGAATTCAACCAACCACAGATCAAAAATATTTTGGGGAAAACTGCAATAGTACTAAATGTGTTTAGACTTTTTTTCTTGTCATTCCCTAAATAATAATAAAGTACAAAAACTATTTATATGGCATTTGCATTGTATTAGGGATTATATATAATCTAGAGATGATTTAAAGTATATGGGGGGAGCTAGGTGCAGTAGCACACACCTGTAATCCAAGATACTCAGGAGGCTGAGGCAGGAGAATTGCAAATTCTAGGCCAGCCTTTGCAAATTAGTGAGACCTTGTCTCAAAATAAAAATAAAAAGGGTTGAGGGTGTAACTCAATCCCCAGTACTGAGGAAAGAAGAAAGAGGATGTGAATAGATTTTATGCAAATGCTACCCACATCGTATATGAGGAATTGAGCATTTATACACTTTCCTGGAAGGGACCACTGGTAAGCAATGCTTAAAAGTATGGATTAGGAGCCAGACTACTTGGATTCAAGTCTTGATTCCTTTGCTAACTAGTGTTTTAGAGCAAGTTACTAAACTTTTCTGTCCTCAGTTTCCACATCAGTAAACTGGGGCAATAATAGTATCTACTTAAGAGAAATGTTCTGAGGATGAAATGAATTAAATGTAGAGCCCTGAGAAAGTGTCTGGGACTTAGAAAGTACTAAGTGTCCGCTGTTATAATAGTTCATTTACAAGATTCTGAGGCACCATGGATTAATGAGGAAGGAACAGGACCTGGAAGAGAATGATTAACTTGTGCCCAACCAGTTGCCTAATGGGAACAGTGACCAGCCACTGGCTGATTCAGGGTCTGAAAAATAGGTCATATGTTTGAATTGCATTCTTTGCTAATCCTAACTAGACATGGAGGATACAGAGTACCCCAGGAAAGGAGAATGGAATCCAGAGTGCATTTGAGTGAGAAATAGAACAGAAAGGAATTTTGGTGAAAATGCAAAAACAAACTGTCTCCAAATCTTAATCTGTTCCATGGAAAACCACAGAAGAACTTAAAAAAACTTTAAGAAGAGTAAACTTTAAGAAGAGAAAAACTTTAAGAAGAGTACTTTAAGTACTTTTACTGGAATATGCCCTTGTTCAAAGTTGTAACTACAACAATGGAGCTTTGCTTTTTATAACCCCCACCACCACCACCACCAAAAAATAAAAAAGCCCAACAACATTTGATTTTCATCAATATGCCCTGTAGCAATCAAAGGAATGTGGTAGATAGGTAGTAACAGGGAGAAACCTTAAGATATTTGATAAATGAAAAGTTACAGAACAATGTGTATAACTCAATTATAACTGTATAGAATATACATGTGTTTATGTTCTTGCATGATGCTTATATGTAGTTAATTCAATTTTTGAAAAAATTGTACATTCCCAACGGTTAACAGTGATTGACATTAGGAAGGAAGAGAAGTGAAGAAAGGCTTTTAAAATGTTTTACACTATTAAGTTTGCCAGATTTAGCAAATGAAAATATAAAAGTCTGATTTAAATTTCAGGTAAACAACTTATACTGTCTCATCTATAATAGTACTATGAACTTACTTAAATACTGTTAAATAATTATTCATTTTTAATTTGAAATTCAGATTTAACTAGGCATCCTGTATTTCCTCTGGCAATCCTACTCTATGTCCTTGGGTATTATTTAACTCTCATTAAAGATATTTACATGTTCTAATTATATGATTTTACAAAAACATGAAAAGAGAAAGAAGAATTAGATAGTTTACTCTCAAGACAACACAAAAGTCCAATTTTTAGTTAAGAAAATTGATTGGCTCAGAAAATAGCAGATTATAAAGCAACATTCCCACTAAGATCCCAGTTTATAAAAAGAAGCAAATGCACTTTTTACACTGAAAGACAGAAGGATAAATATAAGAATATTAACAGTGGTTCTCTCGAGTGATAAGATTAAGGAGGATTTAAATTTCTTCTTTGTGTGTTATAAAATTCTTTAAAACTTTTTGTAATGAATATTTATTACTTCTGGAACAGGAAAATGTCAGGTGTGAAAAAAAAATACCATTTTTCTGTGCTTTCATGAAGACTTTGATATGGCCAACTTGTAGGTAGTTGCGGCTTCCTCAAGAAGAAAGTGATAGGCAGCAGTGTAAGACACCTCTTCTGTTTGAAGTTTTAAAAAACACTGTCATCCTTGTCCTTTCAGGGTACCTCCAAAAGCAGCCCTACTTTGGAGCAGTGGTTGGAAGGGTGGCCAACCGAATTGCCAAAGGAACATTCACATTGGATGGGAAGGAGTATCACCTGGCCGTTAACAATGGGCCCAACAGTCTGCATGGAGGACTCAAAGGGTTTGACAAGGTGAGTCCAGGGCATGTGGCAGAGTCCTTTCTTGGTCCACTTCCCAGAGTACCCACAAGCATGTCTCCTGTTGCCAAGCAGAATCCTAGGCCCTGGGACATGTGCATGGTAAAGCAATCCAGGAAAAAGGCTGTTCCCAGGGTTTGGGGGAGCAGATGCTAATGGCCACATCCAGGATCCATCCTTCTCTAATTCATCTGACTGTCACAAGCAGGGATCCTTGAGTGAAAGGACCATGACCCCTGACTTAGGGAAGATGTGGAACAACTTTCTCATAGTGTTGGGATCAGGGAATCAGGTTGAAGAAATGTGGGTTAATGATAAATACCTACCCACCCTCTACTGCATAGGCCTTCACGTATGTTGTCTCTGACCTTTCCAAGAGACCTGTATCATCACTCAAATGAGAAATCTGAGAATGTGAAAGGCACACGATTCCTAAAGGGATCAGCCAGGTCTGCCTGGCTCCAAGCCCTCATCACTATACTAGAGCTGCTGGTGTCCTCCATGGCCACTGTGGGGACCCCCAATCCAATACACCTCCCTGTTCCTCTTGTTTGCACCCTTCCTGTGCAGTGTGGCACCAGACCCGGGCCTGCCCTTCCACTGAAGTGCTTTGTGCCTTGAAATTACCTTAGGCTCCTCCAGATCCCCCTTTCTAAATAAAAACTCCATTCCCTAAATAAAAACTCCAATCCTTGGAAAGCAAAGGGATCAAGCTACTCCCTGAGATCAGAGTTCCTGGCCTCCTGCTTCAGAGTCCTGCCAGTCTCATTTTAGTCTCTGAGGGAAAAAAATTTCAGAGAGCTCTCCTTTAAATTATACCACCCAGGTTGTTTGCTAGAGTGGAGATAGAGAAGATAGGAAGTAAAATGTGTGGTAACTAAAGGCCATGATTTCCTTTTTTCTGCCTCTGGCCTCCACTTCTCCTGCTGAAGGAAGTTGGTTGCTCTAGGTTTTCCCCTCTCCCTCCAGCTTCCTCTCTGTAGCCAAGAACCAGACTATCCCATTGGCTTCCCTTTCTTCAGTGATGGACTCCTCACCCTAGGGAGAGCAAAAAGCTCTCCCTAGTAGCATCTGCTGTGCCCAAGAGCAGAGGGCAGAGATCCTCTATAACATGCCAGGTCCATGAGTAAACCCCATCTAGAAGAAGCTGGGCCGAGTTCCTACAGGGATCTTCAGAGGACCCTCAGAACAGCACCTTGCTCTTCTCCTTCTGTTCCACTGTGGTATTTTCTGCAGTGTATGTATTCATGT